GCGTGTCGAGGGCGCGAAATGCAGGCGAGAGTGCGTTTTGGTCCGGTCCGGCGCAACCCTCTGCGGAGATCGTGCGTGTCGAGTGCGCGAAATGCAGGCGAGAGTGCGTTTTGGATTTGGCGCGGGCAGCCCTCTGCGGAGATCGTGCATGTCGAGGGCGCGAAGTGCAGGCGAGAGTGCGTTTTGACCCGGTCCAGCACAACCCTCTGCGGAGATCGTGCGTGTGGAGTGCGCGAAATGCAGGCGAGAGCGCGAATTTGTCTTGCATGCGGGCAACCCTCTGCGGAGATCGTGCGTGTCGAGTGCGCGAAATGATAAATGCAGAGGACAGGGCGACGAGGGCCATGTGCGCGCGTATGTGGGGAGCTGGAAGATGAGAGGTGGCGACTTGCTAGTATAACTGTAGTACGCGGAGTAGCTGGGGAGCTGGAAGCTGAGAACTGGCGACTTCGTAGTAAAACTTCAGTACGCGGAGTATCTGGGGAGCTGGAAGATGAGAATTGGTGACTTGCGAGTACAACTTTAGTACGCGGAGTATCTGGGGAGCTGGAAGATAAGCTTTGGCGACTTTGTAGTAAAACTTTAGCGCCGCGTACCTGGGGAGCCGTTGCGTCGACGCATCTCCGTCTACATCCCCTCACCTCTCTACATTTACATCTTGACACGCTCGCATCCCCAGATCTACCTCTCCACCTCACCACACCCACACATCTGCACATCTATGTCACATCTGTACATCCACACTGTCGCTCCTGGACTTCTGTCCTGTCTTTCTTTCTACATATCATTCTCCTCGCCTTTGTGCATTTACATCTTCGCACGCTCACATCCACGAATCTACCTCCCCACCTCCATACATCTACAGATCAAAATCGCACCTGCACATCGACACTGGCACTCCTTCACGTCCACTCTCTCTTTCTCTCTTTCTATATATCTTTTTCGACAGTGCTGGGCAATCACATGTCTCGCTCTGGGGCCAACCGTCGTCTAGTTTGAACCCCCGAGAGTAAGACAACACAACAGGAGTGACTCCGGAGGTGCCTTCATCAACCAGTGACTGGTGAGATCCATCATCATGTTGCATGATTTTTAGAGAAGAAAGAGCCGAAAGAATGTTGTCAAGGCACAAAAATTGCGTTCTGCCAGGGAGGGAAGCAAGGACAGATCTTGCAACCAAGGTCCGGCTCGTGGATAAACTCTCCGGGGCCAAGGCAGCGGTTGGGCCAGAGTGATATAAGAATGTGAGAGCATGTTGCTTGGATGAAGGCTGCGGGCATTCTCAGGATAGAGCTTTGGTTTGCTAGGCCAGGTGACTGCGTGTTGTCAGAAAAACTGCCTGGTGTTTGTGTGTGTGTGTTTTTGTTATTGACATTTGTTTTGCTTCCTCTGTGTGGCTTTGCAGTCAGAACCACCACATTTTGCAAACTATGGCAGGTATGTCAACGTCATTAAATATATTTGTCCATAAACGAATCTGTTGCAGTCACGCCAACTTAGAGCTTCGTGCAGCCACAGGTTTAACAAAATTCTCAAAGCATGCTCAGATTGTAGAGAGATGAACTTGCTACCATGCATGTTCAGATCCATACCCGAACAGTTGTAGATCACTTCGCTTCTGTGCAGAAAGAGCCATGTCATGGATGACAAGTGACGGTGCACGACGTAATCATTGTATTATTGACGGCATGTGCAACATTACTTGCCACGAACACAGGGCACACATTTGTCCAACTAAGAGGGGCTAAGGTACTTGATTGCAAAATGCAACTCAACAATTTAGTTCCGTGTCCATGTCAACCTTGGTTCCTGTTTTTAGTCAACCGGCAGCCATTTGAACGAAAGATGCATCACTGGTGGTGCGCATAGACTGACTTGCTAGGCTGCCCTTCTTGACGCAATGCCCTCGCAACAGCAACAAAATCAGCGATCAAACTGAACGCCGGCTGAATCACAGCCCTGTCTCATTCGTGACCGCTGTTCAACAATGCGGTGCGACATGTCTTCGTTGCAATCTTGAAGACTAATATATAATAACTATATAACAACCATCGCCAGAAAGCCTGTCCCGCAGTCTACCCCAACCTGCAAGAAACCTGCGGGGCCACGTAGGCCATTGGATTGGTGCGATTAACTTTCATTGTGGATGTATGGCTGTTGGATCATGGGCCTTTCAATGGCCGCCATCAAAGGTAGAAACTGCAAACTGTCTATACCACCATGGCCCGACCGAAGAGGAGCAAAAGTTGCTCCAATGGCAGGTCTGACACGGGTATTTGTCGCGATAAGCACCCGAGGCCCTCAATCTGAGCGAAGACAGAGCGGCTGTTGAATTCCTTGTTCAGCTGCTTGAGGGGTTTCTGGCAACGGATCAGCAGAATGCCACTCGAAGGGTCCACAAAGCAGGCTGCCAGCGGTCAGGAGTTGATGTCTCTCAACAGCTTGTCAAATTGCCCCTGGAGCTTGCTCGGGAGCTGTGCAGATTGCGCCTGGCCCGCGCTGAGATTTACGGCATGGCCAGTGACCTGTGCGCGGCGCAGGGGTGGCAAGGGTGAATGGTGAGTTGGAGTTGAGGATTGCGGTTGACAAGAGTGCACGTGACCAACTTGCAGGTGCCCCAGGGGATTGATTCCAGGGGTCATGCGATGCACCAAGTGCCGCTGCCCCGATGGCGTTGTGACAGTCAGCCTCAGTCCCAAGCAATTCTCCCGGTGCTTGATCGATGCTGCACGCAAGTGTGATGCATTTGCCTCGGAACGATAGTGGGTAGTGTTTGGGAATGTTTTCGGAAGCGATTGAGAAAAAAAGGAGAGGCGAAACTGGAGACGGTATACAATGCTAGCGTCTTTCCCAAACAGGACGAAACAAACCGGGGAAGAAAATCAGCCATTGAAATAGCTGCGCGGCTTGAACGGCCAACACCTCTTTTGCGCTGCTTCGAAGCAATCAAGTGTTGAAGACAAACGAGACAGCCGTAGTCAACTAGAGACCAGCCCGGCACAGCGGCAAAAAAGGCAACCGGAGCAACCCACCACGCACGAAGACAGTCGAAGACCCATGGAGATCCCTTACTCCTTGAATCTCCTTAATTTAGCAAGCTTGGACGTCATTGCGTTGACTGACCTCTACTGTAGGCTCTTGGGTTTCTTTTGGCAAGGTTTTGTCGGGGCCCGGGGCAATCAAGCCGTAAACGCGCCCATCTCTAGTGTGTCTCTTCTCGGGGAGCCCTGGGCGATCATGGCCATAGCGGCCCAAGTTCGCTCAGAGATCGAAATGGATCTCGTGCCGACCTTGGTTTTCTTCCTTGTGTCCTCTCAGTTTCTCGTGCTTTCTCTTCCTTCCCTTGTCTCCCGGTTGCCGAACTACTTCGCTCCGGTCTTCTGCTTGCTTGCCTTCTTCTTCCGCGACTTCCTCCTCGTCCGGAACTTTGTCGGCACAGGTGCTCCTTTGGTCCGGGTCGGCCGGGTTTCGGGCTTGACGTACCTTAAGGTCCTGCCTCTCTTCGTCTTTGGATCTCTTCAGGTTTGTTGCGCGCCTTCCCGTTCGCCTCTCTCTTGTTTTCTTTACTTTTTGCTTTCAATGATGCTGGCGACGCCCTCCAGGGTGCCCAGCATGTCCGGCACCCCGGGGGGGGGCAAACATACATATATATATATATATTTATTTATTTATTATTGTTATGATTATTATTATTGCTAGTTTATATCTGAATCTATATATTAAATACATTTGCTTCACAAGCCACAGCCCATTGGCCAAAAGTGGCATTAGTCACTCATGGACTGCTCCAAGCCCCTCAGCTTCTTCTTGGACGAAGGCGGGCTGCAAACTACCGCCAGGCATGCCAACCTCCTGCCCTCTGCACTCTGCACTGGGTGTGTGCTTCTGACATCGTGAGCACTCTTGCGCTTGAAGTCCTCAGTCATCACAGCAAAGTGGCAAGGCCCTGCTTTGATGGCCAGCAATGCCTCTTTGCTGCACCTCCTGCTCAGCTTCAACCAGCAGCGGCTGCAGTTGACATGTGTGCCCCATCTGCCAGGCATGACCTCCTTCAGCATCCTAAGATGTTGCAATCATCTCATCAAGGAGCCCCTTCAGGATGGTCTCAGGCCTGCCCACACACCGCTCATGTGCTTCCTGTGACTCTTCATGCGTCGAGCAGGCTTTGATTCTCTTATGGCATGGCTGGCAGCGAGTCCCATTCTTGTACATCTCCCAGGCATGACCTGACTCGTCGCATGGCACATTAGAAGCCTCCTCCATTCCTCACTCTCACACTCACTCACACTCACACTCACACTCACTCACCCACTCACCCACTCACTCACTCACCCACTCACCCACTCACCCACTCACTCACTCACCCACTCACTCACTCACCCACTCACTGTCACCATCATCCCCTCTCTATGCGTCTATATCTCTAGACTTTCTGCTGCTACGCCTCTAGACCTCACACACACTGTTTGGGGTCTCTTGCCAGAATAATTTTGTGTTCTTAAATCCTTTGGAACTTCAATGTCAGGTCGCGCAAGACCCTTTAGTTTGTGCCCCCCCCCACTGGGGACGTTTGTGTGTGTGTCGTTTTGGGTCGTGGATTGTGTTCGGACTGTGGGGTAAAATGTTATATACTTTTGGCATGGAATTGCTCGTCCACATTCTCTTGCGATGTGTACCCGCCGTAAGCACCTTTGACTTTCTATTGGCCTTTGCTGTTAACCAAACCAAGACGACCAGCCATTGCATTTGTTACACACCCTGTGACGTTGAGCCGGCTTTGATATTGGCCTTTGATGCAGATCATATAAGTTGAAGTCTTGGAACTTGTTAGTCACTCGTTATATAATCTAACATGTTTGAACACGGCCACATGTACTTGACCTTTAGGTTTCTTTTACCGAGCTGTCGTTTGGGCGCGGGGTATTACTTTTTAGTGATGTGTGTGTGTGTGTGTTTTGTGGCAGCGTGTCCAAAGGCGGATTTGTTTGTCAAAGCTACTTTGGTATTGGGTGGGTCACTGTCCTTCTAGTTTTCGGGAGGTACGATGACCAAACCTCAGTCACGGCGCTTAAGAAGAATATGGTCAGGACCCTAAGAGGTTTGTAAGCACGGTGAGTGTTTCGCCTCGATTCACGGACATTCAAAAGCAGCCTCCGAGGAGAAGTGCATTTGCCAAAAACTCGACGGCACTGCGGGAACTGGAGTGAAGATCGAACTCAAAGGTGCATGAACACCACCAACCGTTTCTGATTTGTTGAATATGCGTTTGGTGATGCAGTAACTTTTGGTTTCACAGCCTGTGCCAGCTCACGCATCTGCTGGGAAGCACTGAGAGCGCGGCGTAATTCATTTGCTGTGGGCTCCCGAATACATGGAGAGCACATGCCGCATGAATGATGCATGTGTTTTTCATGGCAACTTTTGGTTTTGAGGATTGATTGGGGTCAGACTTGTTCACAGCATGGGATGATTAGGATGTCATGGGGGTTGGACAACACTTGCCACTGTCACAGCCTGCTCGTGGGCTTTGTGCAGAAAGGGGCCGAACAGTGTTGCGCTGCATTGGAGCCACACATTCTGTTGTTTGCCAGAAATGCTGGCGCTCAAGAAACACAAAAGATAACAATCAGAATGCCTTATGTTATAGTTGGTTGTATTGAAAATTTTAGCAGCGCTGAACAGAGCCGAATTTGGTTCCAGGATGGCATGGAGCTGTGATGGGAGATGAGGTGGGGCGCTGGAAGAGACAGTCACCCTGGCACCCGTTCACGTCTGATGGCAAGATTCACGCCTTTTGACCAGTCGGACAGCACAAAGATGCCCGGCGCAAGCTTCAAGAGAACTCACTGCAATTTCAATGACATTACTTCTATGTGTGCGGTGCGGCCCTAGTCCCACGCTCCCTGCCTAGCATCGCTTTGTGAAACCAGTAGCACGATGCAAAAAGTCTACTAGTCTACTTGCAACCTCGATATCTTAACCCTGTTTACCTGCCCGTTCCTGTTCACGTGCCCCAGACGTTCCCTCCGGCCTGCCCCTCGCCACCATTCCCTCCTCGGCCCTACCTGTCGCCACGCCTTCAACCTATCGAGTTCTGCGCCCGCTCAGTGCCTGGCCTAACATACCAAAGGTCCAAAGCGTAACTTCTCTGGTCACCCGGCAGGTTGATGTTGGAGCTCCGACTTCCCAACCCTCCTCTTCGCATTGCCAAAAAGAGATGGTGAGAGAGATGTTGCGCTCTGAGTTGTTTGCGTTCTCGCCTCACGAGCAATTGTTGAAGCAGACACGCTCAACTGTGCAGCCGCTGTAGCGACGCTTGGGTCCGACTGTCCCATTGGTCACCAGTCACCTCGTAAAATAAGGTGCGCAAAGTCTATGACCATGCTCAACTCACCCAGCCCCAAACCCCCATAGCTTGTGCTATCTTGTGCCAACCAAGATCATGTTTGCAGCAATTCCACAAACTCCCGCATGTTCATCTCAATTCGGGTGACGCAGGCGGCGCCAATGACAATGGTATGAGTTGATTTTTGTTGCGACAGAGCAGTCAATTGCTGTTTCCGGGCCACCACGTGCTGCCCTTTTCAAAGCGAAAGTGCACCTTGTGCAGCTGCTGGGCCCAAACCTTGACCAGATGCTGAAACAATGGGATGTTGCGCTAGCGCGCAGCATACTGCGCAGCATGGCATTCTGGAATCAGAAGTATTTTTCCAGAAGTATGCGCTGGGCAAGAAAATAGGGGAAGGAGCCTTTGGGCAAGTACGCCTGACAACAGACCTTCAGACAAAACAGAGTTTTGCGGTGAAAATCGCAGATGTGCGTGCACGGCAAGATGGGGGAAAGGTCGTTGTCAACCCAAAGCGAAAAGCCGCTATTGAGCGAGAGATTGAGATGTGGCAGCTTGCCAGCTCCAGTGGGCTTCCTGAAATCACTCAACTCATCGAGTGTTTCTACTCGCTTGGGTTCTATTACTTGGTGTGCGAAGCTTGCGAGAAGAATCTGATGCAGCATTTGCTTCATGTCAAGACCATCAGTGAGGATGAGCTTGGCGAAGTAGCAGCGCAGATGCTCAGGAGCATTGCACACGTACATTTTCTTGGAATGGTGCACCGGGCAGCCTGGTTTTGAATCATTGGAGTCGTTCCAGTTGTTTTTGCCGGGACTTGTTTGATCTATACCAAGCATTCTGATCCTCCATGAGTTCCTCCATGATTCCTCCATGAAAGGGAATGTGGGGGTTCTTGGGAGTCGATTCTCCATGATTCTTTTACGGCAGCTAATGCAGGACAATGCTGGATGAATGCACACAGCACAACACAAAGACAATGTAAACCAACACTTTTGGCACCAGACACGACAACAAGTTGATATGTGGTGTTCACACATGTTGCACCTACTGGTAGAGTTTTCAACAATGAACCTGACGTGTCAAGTCATTTAGCTCGTACCATTTTATTTCATCACTTTAGTTGCTGTATATGGAACATGTTTCACAACATGTGTAGTTATGTTAGTAGTTATGTTATACAATTGTGAATTTTACCGATTGTAGCCAGGGTGTATTGCGTACAGTTGATG